GGAAACGGAGACTGACATTTGGAGAATGGGCATGATTGAGAAGTCCGCACTAGAGATCTATCGAACTTTTAAGCAGGAAATCGCCAAGGAAAGGATCTATGATAATACTCGGGTAGTTCTCTACTGTTTGAGGCCAGGACGGGAGTACTGCGAACCAAGACATGTCGGGCCAAATACGAAGGGGTAGACACAGTATGCAGTGCGTGTGGAGAGGAAGAAGAAACTGCCAAACACTTGATAATGTTCTGTAAAGGGCTTCACCCTATTGTTCAGGATGATGGCGCAGAGTTTTTCAAAGCACTGGGATTTAGGGACAGCGAGGGCAAAATAGACTTTAAGCGGGTAGACTTAACTAGAAGGAGGTTATCTGATTGGTGGCTAAAGTCAAGGCACGAGTGAAAATTAAATCCTTCACTGCGAAGTACGAATCCTCAACTTCATTATTTAAAGGAAAAAAAAAGATAAATGTAATGGTTAGTTCACCAAGTATTACGGCTAGGTGGCGTTAGCCGCCGCCCGATCTAAAGGGTACAGCCACATCCATCCATCCATCCATCCATAGTCATCATTAATATGGTAAGAGCGGTAGCGCCGGCAGTGAAGCCTGACGCTGAGGCTTGGTGCCCCGACAGAAAAGATTGGCGAGCCTCTTTGGCATTGGAGCAGCGAGCAGGATGCACGTCTCCTGCGCTGAGAACCACGGGAGGCGACAACGCGGGTCGTTCTTCTGGGGACCCTCGTGGCGAATAGAGCATCGGTGACGCCGCCTTCGCGCTACCTTATGTTTATTCTTCTGTTTATTGAGGGCACGAGAATTATGTATAACGTGTTTTGCGTGTCGATCACTAGTGATGTATTTGAGTCAGCTGAAGTTATCGTTGAGATAAAGAGAATATAATAAATGTATTGTTTTACTTAGTCCGACCCCGTCCACTGTCGCCGTGTATTCTTGAATGATTGATTAATTGCTTGACCGATTGATATGTGAGGTCTACCATTCCGAAACTACCCTATGATTAGGAGAAACGGCGTAGTGTAAGGCTCAGGAAATTTCGATCCCCTGGTGCTTTTTAACGCGCACCCATATCTAAGCACACGGGCTTGCAGCTATTTCGCCTCCATCTAAAATGCAGCCACCACCATCGGGATTCAATCCCGCGATCTGCGAGTAAACAGCCGAGCACCTTATCCACTAGACAGCCATAGCGGGGCTGTCTGCGTGTGTTTTGAGAGCAGCGTGCCTCACTTCGAGATCCCACACACCAAACGTCATTACTTATTACACTTGCCTACTCGCCACTTGTAAAGGAAACGTACTTCATGCAAACTCACCTCTTCGTATTTCTGGTTTCTCTGTCGACGATGCACGTCGTATTAGTTACTTTGCTATAGCTGGCGAGTCATTCATGCGCATCGCCATCCATGCAGAGGTCGACGCGGGGCACTTCACGTCAGATGGGCTGGCTTCACTGGCGTCTAGTTCCCACGTGATTATGCACATGGCTGCCATGTTAGTCGGAACCATGTCGTTGACCGAAACGCGCTGGACGTTAGATGGGCAGGCGTCTGATTCGCACGTGAGTGTCTGGGCGTCCGCAGTGCCAGTCATAAGCACGTTCATCGATACCAGCTCGCTTTTAGAAGGGCTGTTGAAACTGGTCCGCTGTAGAGTTCGCACGTAATCACCAGCTTGTCTGCCAAGTTTAGCCGGAAGCACGATGTACGTCACTGAAACCCACTCGAACGTTAGGTGATATGCTGGAATACGCATGTGAGCGTCCGCCACACCAGTGACACAGACGATGAAGTGTTTAATTGAAGAAAACAAAACACTCTTTTCTGCATTCTTATGTAAGCACGGTTATGCCCAGCTTTTTGAGGGAGAGGGAAAGAGGGGCGCCGAAAGATATAAAGGAAACGTAGAGAAATAGTATACGGCAAGGCGTGGGTGCTTCGGTAAGATGGAACAGCCAAATGGAACTTTCAACTCGAGCTAATCTACCAACACTAACAGAAAGAAACCGCTTATCTAGACTGAAATTTCTATATCAACTAGTAAAGGGACATTACAAGACAGACATTTCTGAAGTTCTTTCATTTTCGTCCGGATATGCAACTCGACAAAGGCATGAGCGCACAATAACACCCTATATGCAACCCGTAACAACTGCTTTAAATATTCATTCTTTCCACGAACTATAAACGACTGGAACAAACTAACCAACACCGATATTTTACAGCCATCCTTAACATTGTTTTCTTCTAGCCTCAATAACAGTGTTTCAAATAGCATGTCAATTAAGCTCTGTCCCCATAAACGTTCGAATTTTTGTATATTTTGAGTTGCCTTGTGCGTACGTTTGTTTCTATGTGTTTTTATCTTCCCGATTTGAAAATTTGTTCGTCTGCATATTGAGCATTTATGTAATTTATGTAACCCACTCTGCGAAAATCCCTAATAGGGAGAGCAGTATTCATAAATAAATAAATAAAAACATCCGTGCATTCCGTTGCGCGCGCGGGTCCAGCCACGTGCGTCTCGCTTGCTGGAATCCGTGCTGACCAGTTGTGCCCTCGCGATCTCCGGCGTCAGCGTAGCTCTGGCCGACTGGGATCGCCCTACGTCATCTCCTGAAGCCGACGACCTTCGACGACAGTGTAGCCCTGACCGACTGGACTTGCTCTACGCCATCTACTGACGCCGACAAGAGCTCTCGCAAGTGGTGCCCTGTCCTCGGACTCCTGTGACCATGTTTCCATCTTTCCTATCTCTCCTATCTCCTCGATATCTCGTCGCTCTCTAGCTTACCACCTCACACCTCTTTCCCTATACCTTTATTCCTGCTCTTTTAATCCCTCCTCATCCCCATCCCTTGTGAGCTACTGTTGAGGTGTCGCTCGCTGAAGCAGACAGTTACGGGGCTCACTTTTCTTTTCTTTCCTCACTAAGAACCACTTAGAGAGCCACGTGGCTTGAAGAGAGGAACTAATTCGCCCCGAGAAGTTAGTGGCGCCACCTGGTGGGAGACTTGGGTGACGTCACGGCATGAACTCTTGATGCCCGCCGCGGTGCGCCTACGTAATAATGCGCTTGCTTCGTGTGCTGTTCTGCAGTTTGCAATCGCTTTCGTCTCTTCTCAAGCTGCAGATCAATGTGAAGAAAACAGGATGAGCAATGTTCCTTGTAAAACAATGAAAAGTTTACTTTCGCTCACTTTTGCACAATCGCGCTCTCGGTCGTGAGCAATATGAAAGGAGTGTAAAAGTTTTTCTCGTGCTGTTAACCCCTTACGACGGATTCCAGTCCTGGCTATAGTAGCCGTATTCTGAAGGTTGTGAAAAGCGAGAACATCTTCTGCTCGAATAAAACATACTCATTGCGCATAATCATGTAATTTTGAGATGCAATACACCACGCTTACTTTATTAGGTTGAACTTTTCACGGGTAATTCCTTTAGGAAATGTGAGTGTTTCTTTTCCTTCGGTGCATTTGTATCGGTACAATTCGCGTATCTGTGGTGTGCCAAGCCTCGCGTTCGCGCGGAGTATCGGACCTCCCAAATGTTTTGAACGCACTCGCCTATAGAATACCACAGCTGCTGTTGTGTCCATTGTTCTCATGTACTTGCTCACTCAGCACGTTGTTTTCAGCTTCATTTTACCAAAGTTAAGGTTATTTGTGGTTGAGGTTGTGTGCGAAAATTCTTCTTGCTGTGACATTCTACGTTCGTGCAGAATCGTAGCAACGGTGCTGTCACACCCGTAACAACAAGTTTAGATAGCCACCGCAAAATATTTTCCTTGCGGTTGATTGCGTAGACAAGCCGTGCGAAATCAGTCCTCAACTCATCAAGGCGAAGTTGTCTATTATTACTTGGGCCACGCCGCTGAGGGCGCAATTGAATAGATTCATTGCAATTTTTTGGTGTTTGTGTTGGAATCGCTGTTACATAGGGCTTCCGTCTGAAGTGAATATTATCGTTTGTGACACGCCACGAGACCATCGCAGCGTTTGAATCAAAATAGGGTTTACGGCTATAGTATACGCATTGCCCGGTGGTTGTTGCGAAGCGCATGATCCGAAAAAACGGACATATTTCAACAATTCAGAATAGCTTGTGTGTGCGGCAGCATTCCTTTGCTAATTTTCTGAATGCGTTAGGTGAGTGCTTATGACAGTCAGATTCGTGTAAAGTGTCCTGCTTGAAAAAGCAAAATCATGTAAAATCATTTAGAGTATTTGCAGATGCAAGCGTAACTTGCTTCAGCGAAGCGCAACCTATTTAGGAAATTCAAAACGTATAATTCCGTTTGTAATACTTCGGCACACATGTTCTGACCCCGGAGCCTATGCCTATCTGTAATCAAGTTAGCACCAATCAGCAAATTTTTTAGCGCTCCTTCATTGGTGTACGTGATGCAAACGACTGTACTGTTGTACTACGACCAAGTTTTCACAATAAATCTTCCGTTCGGACGCGAGTCTGCCTACCCTAAGCTAAATTATGAAAACATTTTACAGCTTCGATAAGTTTCACTACTTATGAAGCCTTCCACCTTGTACCTTAATTGAGAGTATTGCGTCGCAAAATAGAGGAGCGATTTCTAACACTTCGCTAAAGAGTGGGCACACGGCAGGCGCAGAGGAAGGAGACAAGCGATGGCGGAGAAGACGAGCCCTTAACGTGACGTCAAATAGCCGCGACTGCAGCGTTACCAGTGTTTGTTATCGGGGCTAATAGTGAGCGAGCAATCCTGACGGAGGCACTGGCTTCCTTCTAATTTTCCTCTTTGGCGTGTTCTGCGGCACCAGCAATACCAAATACGCCATCGGGACAGAAAGCGTGAGCCATCAGGCACAAGAGCCATAGAGACTGCGCCACTGTAGGCTCTTAGCTGCCCGCGGGAGCTTATGATAGTCTAAATACAATTCTGTGCAGATAAATATGATTGTGATGTCATTTTTTGGGAACTTTCTCCGCATAAATGAATTCAAAGCTGCACGTAACATATAGATCATTTATTGGTAATGAGTAAGAATATGCTGGTTGTGAGAAAAGGTTTCAGTAGAGTTTTTGGGAGGGACCCATGGTAGACTTGGTATGCATGGAACGAACGACCAGCTTGTGCTGCTCCAAGGTAGCCAATATGTGTTTGATAACAATGTTGATGTTCTCGGTCAGCTCCTCTGGGGTCATTGAGACGTTCCCAACAGGAACACCAATCAATGGTGCCTAGCAAGTAAAAAAGAATATTTACTATTAGTGCTTTCGAACACGAAGTGCTATAAGTGCATTGAGGGCCGTCAAAGGCACACAAGTGTTCGGAGAGCATTCATTACCTTAAAAATCTATTTTATTTTAAAAATTTTAGACGCATATATATTTGCTTAAGTACAATATCATGGAGAGCATACGACAGAACAAGCAACTGTGCCCGTCAGCCTCTAGAAACCTTGAAGAGAAGTACGAGAAAAGTATAAACACTCAGAATGCATAAATTTTAAGCTCAATCAAAAGCTGTGCTAAGTTGTATTTCATTAGGTACAGAACAGATGAAGGACAAACTTACCTTCCTTGTCATTCTTAGTTATCTGCTTGTTACGTATAGCACCAAACGAGAATATTTCGACAGCATTTTTATAAACACATTCAGTTGGTTTTTGCCGTCAGCTTCACCATCATGTCCCATGTACGTGTATATAGGTATCAGCCACAATAAATTCAAAATATTTTCGGACGCGCAAAAGATGTGTGACTTCTACCTCTTTAGTGCACGTTGTTGGCCGGCTGGGCCACGAAAGTGTGCGTCCTTCACAGCAGTGTACGAAACAGTGTTCCAAGAAAGGGCATTCTAGGTATCAGTTCCTTTTAGAAGGAACTCCACCGTTTCATTCAGCATCGGTAGAACCTGTGATAGCAACACGCTAAGTTTTAAAAAGAACGACAGAGAGACCAGCGTAACTTTTGCGAACGCGGCGTGGCATTGAACAGGTTCACGCAAATGTATCATCATGCGGATATGTGTGGATGATCTACCCTGTGAGGCGCAAAAAAAAATGTGCTACTCGCCTATCACGTAATATGGTGCACCCTGGTTTTTACAAGGCCTCTGCCTGGGGCTCAGGGAAGGGCGGGTTGCCGAAGATGACCAGGTGCGAGAATAACGACTGTCTCTTTTTCGTTTTTGCGACAGAGCTATTTTGCTCGCTATTCGCCGTTTGTCGTGTTTAATAAAATATTGTTGCCATGATCGCGAAACGTCGCGCGCTTTTTTTGCCATGTTCATTTTCTTTTGCTTCACTTCAAGAAGAAGTGCGCCGATTCGTCCGGCGTGGGATGGACTAACTATGATGGGTGAGAGGATGATGACAGAGTGAGTAAAAAAAGAAGATTGAAAGAAAGAGAAGATTTTGGCGAAAACAATTCTTGGCATCGCAAGACTCAAACCCCCGCATAACCCCAATCCGAAGTTTACATCGTAACCACTTGGCTATTCATTTTTTTTTTCATTATATTCATTCAACTTTCGTATAGCACTCAAAAGCAAGCAATTTTATACGAACAGGGAACTAGTGTTTTCCTTTTGCTCGTATCGTGGCACATTGACGAAAATAATGTATTGAAGAAATCGCTTTCTACTTTAGAACATGTACATGAACAAACACCCTGTTCCAATTATTCACTATTACAGTGGTAAAGCTCAACACGAAGAATGCATTATATTGTTGCGTTGAACTTCATACTTTACTAATATGGCTGACTTTTCAATTGCAAGAATACATTCTTTACCCGAGGGACCATTCTAACGAAGTGTGGTGTTGAGAAAAATTAATGAGCCTGCGTTTTTTAGCAACACGTGCACACGCTAGCGGAGCATACCCTAGTCTAGTGGAATGTAGTATATAGCAAAAGGGTGAGAATAAGAAGTTTCGGGTAGAAGAAAAAGGAGAAAACGATAACTACCATAGTGAGAGAAAGAATAAAAGAAACAGAAAGAAAGCGAAGAGGGAAAAAATTGGAAGGCGAGGTACTGACTACTCATAGAAAAAGAAACAACGAGAAGGAAAGATTTATGAAAAAAAAAATGAGGAAATAGACATAAATAACAGAGAAAAAAGAAAATGATAAAAATAGAGAGAAAAAATATACAGAAATATGTTCACTGAATGCGGGCAGGTGACTTTACTAAGTTACAAATATGTGACGTGGACACCATTTCCTATTGGAACTAAAATATGGAATGACCACTCAATAACTACCTAAGTGTTGTTACTTTCGATGCGGTTTTCGGTGCAAGAAATTTATTTGCATGCATGCATATGTGAACATATCTATCTGAAAATCTGAAGTGCAGCATCCCAACTCACTTTGAAACACGAGGTGAAAAGTACATGTGTTCAACTTGTCATAAAAGAGCGGGGAAGTTGAAGTCAGACAGCCCCGCCACGGTGGTCAAGTGGCTGAGGTACTCAGCTGCTGACTTGACGGTCACGAGATCGAATCCCGGCTGAGGCGGCTGCATTTCTGATGGAGGCGGAAAAGTTGTAGGCCCATATGCTCAGATTTGGGTGCACGTTGAAGAACCCCAGGTGGTCGAAATTTCCGGGGCCCTCCATTACGGCGTCTCTCATAATCATATGGTGGTTTTGGGACGTTAAACCCCACATATCAATCAATCAAGTTGAAGTTAAACATGCCTGTTGTATGGCTTAAGTATAGCCGTGGTCTCTACGAAGTTCTAGCATCGTTTATGTATATTCCTTTGCCTAGATATAACCTGCTTTCGGTGACGTCGAATTCGAAAAGTATATGTAGCTACATAAGAGCTTCGAATTGCTCACTTTATTTCGCCTCATGATAATCCAATAATTTATTTAAAACTCAATTGAAACATTGATGTAACGACACATTCCTATATTTTGAAACGTAACTGTTATGACTTCATTTCTGAGGAAGAGAAGTTGTAAAGGGAACTCGAGCGAAAATTGCGAAGGAACAGTCGAGATTACTGTAAATGAACACAATACTGATATTGTCATTGTGCTACCGAAACAGCAACAAGAGACACACAAAAAAACGAGGACAATGAAATCCCAGAGCAATTTCACTCTGAAGGACGTGGGGAGTAAATGTAGGTCGGCTAATTGTAGCTTTTCCCAATATTCCGGCAAAATTACTTTTGATAGTAACAAGTGGCACGATCGTGGCAGTTAATCATCTAGAGCGTAAGTGGAATTTGTTTGACCACCTAATTAATATTGGTACGCGATGAAATAGTTGTAAGATCTTTAGCAATAAGAGGGCATTAAAATTCACGGACAATAATTAGCCCAGTTTTTACCCATATACGCGTCTGCAGAAAGGGAGAATACTAGAATTTTTTGTCACAGACGAAATATTACCTTCATGCGGCTATCTGTATAAGATAATTTAGCAGTTGCCATGCTTTTATTCGCCAATTGGACCAAAATAAAAGCAGTAACAGAAAAAAATTATTGCCTTCAGCGCAGCCAGAAGATTTGTCCACGATTTTCGCTCGCACGCGAGAAAAAAACATACGCAGGCTGTATTGATTGATATGTGGGGTTCAACGTCCCAAAACCACCATATGATTATGAGAGACGCCGTAGTGGAGGGCTCCGGAAATTTCGACCACCTGAGGTTCTTTAACGTGCGCCCGAATTGGAGCACACGGGCCTACAACATTTCCCCCTCCATCGGAAATGCAGCCGCCGCAGCCGGGATTCAATCCCACGACCTGCGGGTCAGCAGGCGAGTACCTTAGCCACTAGACCACCGCGGTGGGGCTACGCACGCTGAAATCCCGCGCGCTCTGCTTTCTGCCGTGGTTCCCGCCGCTCGAGGATTGAACGAACGAACGAACGACCGAACGAACGAACGAACGAACGAACGAACGAACGAACGAACGAAACGAACGAACGAAACGAACGAACGAACGAACGAACGAACGAACGAACGAACGAACGAACGAACGAACGAACGACGAACGAACGAACGAACGAACGAACGAACGAACGAACGAACGAACGAACGAACGAACGAACGAACGAACGAACGAACGAACGAACGAACGAACGAACGAACGAACGAACGAACGAACGAACGAACGACGAACGAACGAACGAACGAACGAACGAACGAACGAACGAACGAACGAACGAACGAACGAACGAACGAACGAACGAACGAACGAACGAACGAACGAACGAACGAACGAACGAACGAACGAACGAACGAACGACGAACGAACGAACGAACGAACGAACGAACGACGAACGAACGAACGAACGAACGAACGAACGAACGAACGAACGAACGAACGAACGAACGAACGAACGAACGAACGAACGAACGAACGAACGAACGAACGAACGAACGAACGAACGAACGAACGAACGAACGAACGAACGAACGAACGAACGAACGAACGAACGAACGAACGAACGAACGAACGAACGAACGAACGAACGAACGAACGAACGAACGAACGAACGAACGAACGAACGAACGAACGAACGAACGACGAACGAACGAACGAACGAACGAACGAACGAACGAACGAACGAACGAACGAACGAACGAACGAACGAACGAACGAACGAACGAACGAACGAACGAACGAACGAACGAACGAACGAACGAACGAACGAACGAACGAACGAACGAACGAACGAACGAACGAACGAACTAACGAACTAACGAACGAACGAACGAACGAACGAACGAACGGACGAACGGACGGACGGACGGACGGACGGACGGACGGACGGACGGACGGACGGAGGAACGGACGTGGCTGTACCCTTTATATCGGGTGGTGGCTAACGCCACCAAGCCGTAATAAAGGGTACAGCCATATCAATCAATTCATCCATCCATCCATAAATACGGCTGTACCCTTTATATCGGGTGGTGGCTAACGCCACCAAGCCGTAATACTTAGTCAACAAAAACTTGATTTATTTTTTTCCCTTTAAATAATGAGGTTGTGGACTCGTACTTTACATTGAAGGGTTTAATTTTCACTCGCGCCTTGACTTTAGCCACCAATCAGATAACCTCCTTCTAGTTAAGCCTCCTTGCTTAAAGTCTATTTTGCCCTCCCGGTCCCTAAACCTCAGTGCTTTGAAAAACTTTTCGCCATTATCCTGAACTATAGAGTGAAGCCCTTTACAGAACATTATCAAGTGTTCGGCAGTTTCCTCTTCCTCTCCACACGCAGTGCACACCGTGTCTACCCCTTTGTATTTGGCCTGATATGTCTTGGTTCGAAATACTCCCGTCCTGGCCTCAAACAGAAGAGAACTACCCTGAGTATTATCATAGATCCTTTCCTTGGCAATTTCCTGCTTAAAAGTTTGATAGATCTCTAGTGCAGACTTCTTAACCATGCCGATTCTCCTCATATCGGTCCCAGCTTCCTTCACCTTCTTCTTAACCTTTAATTCTTTTTGGTTTGGCCCCCTGCTGTTTTCTAAGGATGGATGGATATGGCTGTGCCATTTAGGTCGGGCGGTGGCTAACACCACCAAGCCGTAATACTTAAAGAGCCTACAGTAAACGCGCTTTCTATCGGTGATGGGCACGTGAGGCAACATTCGCCGATTTTGCTGGGAAGCACGGCAATTGGGAAGGCCGGAAAGAACCACGCCGCGCGCCCGCAATCTTGGAGGCCATGTCACTCCTCCCATGTATTGGCGCGGCGCTTCGGACACTCCCGCTTATTCTAGGTCTCTCTAGGTATATAGTACCTAGGCACGAATGCATATGTATTCGTTTATAGGTACGCGGAGAACGTGTGCCTCTTTTCTCCTTGATAGTCACCGTACGTGGCGGATCGTTGGTGGGGCATGGACGAAGCAAAGCGGCGGGTGCATTGAAGATGCTTGCGCTCGGCTTCTTTGGCTCGTGTCTCATCGGTCTTACCCGTGTGCCGTCTGCATTCTCGAACGCGATCAGACGCATGGACGCATGCATGGATGGACGGATGGACACGTGGACGAATGGACGGACGGACGCTTCGCCCGACTCATTATCATTCACTCCGTGAATATGCCGTGATTTCTTATTTCGTGCGACAGTGGTTACGGACACCGGCGATGGAGGGCCGATCTTGATTTCATAACAGCTTTCGCTGCAAAAGGCCAGTCAAGCCATAATGCAAATAACGAAGCTTGCTACGCGCATCATGACCATTAACAGCCAGCGGCAATTCTTTACCTTTTTTGGTGTCTGATAAAATTGCCCCTGCCAAATTTGTCTCTGTATGTTATGAAAGTAAAAGCCTTTTTTTTCTTTGATATATCCTGGGCACTAACAAATCACATTTTGATATACTGTGCTTTGCCAGCTACTTACCAAGCTTCAATAAAAAATACTGTACCTTCACTCTAAAAGTGACTGTGGTCCGAACTTCTTCAAGCTTGGCCTGCATCGGCTCCTCTTCGCCAAGAACTACGGGTAACTTGCCCTTCTTGTCCATGTCATTGGCCATATTACGTGGAATCTTCTTTATCACAGGCTCAGTCGCCATGAATACACGATATTTCTCAACTGCGAAGTGGCAAGAATGAAAAAAAAGCGACAACACACCATGACCTACACCATTCTTGAAATATTTGACAGCTTGAAGCGTTCATTTGAAGTAAGAACAAAAGGAGCACGTGCCTTTTTTCAGGCTATGGCTGAACCAATAAACAAATATTTGGCCGATTCCGCGTACCATGGGAATTAATTTTTGCTAATAATGTGGATAAAAAGGACTTTGGTGTATTTTTGGAGACATTATGAAATGACGCTAACAATATGTGCATGTGTTCCGAAAGCGAAATAGAGCACGCGAGCTTTGGACAAACATGGTAAAACTTTAGGCGGAACTGCATGCCAGCGCGTTCTTTTAGACCATGTGTGGCAGAAAGGTACGCAGGCCTACCCGGCTGACTCATTCCGGTAATATGATGCTCGCTTCATCGCCAGCTCGAGTGAACCGATCTACTGCCATCATTGCTCCTTAGCGGAAAAGGTAGTTTCATCAAGGCAATAAAAAAGCACATGCGACCAAACATTTCATGACGATCTGAATTGGCAAGAAAATATTTAAAACATTGAAAGTGTCATTGTATGAGCAGTGATGACACCAGCGTGGCTTTGCTTGAGCCGTCTACAAGGTGAGCAAAACAGAATATTGGGAAAGGTTAGCCGGATTTATACCAGCGTATTCTCGCTATTTGCAGCGCCGCTCGTCATAGAGGGCACTGGCATGCAGTTTTTCTTCGTTTCGCCACCTCTTGCGTGTTTAATTTTACTTTTGAAGCACCTCTACACATGTACTATAAAACATATGTTGAAACGTAACAAATGTTCAGGTAACCAGCTGTTTATTTATTTATTTATTTATTTATTTATTTATTATTTATTTATTTATTCCAAGGTACCTAACAGACCCCAGAGGTGGGGGCATTGAGTAAGGGGGGGTGATACACTAGATACATGTACACACACACACACACACACACACACACACACACATATATATATATATATATATATATATATATATATATATAGAGAGAGAGAGAGAGAGAGAGAGAGAGAGAGAGTTGGCAAAATACACGAGCAAAGATACAATTGCAATGTAATAAACAGAAAACAATATAGATAAGTTATACATGTAAAGATGACGCACGCACGCAAACAGTAAGCGAAAGTATGCGTTTATTGAGCAATAGAAGAAAGCGGTTAGATGTCACAGCGGCAACACTCTTAAAACGAGTTCATGTTCTACAAAATGAAAACTAATACCATGCGCGATGAAGAAAAAAAAAACGATACATTTCGTAGCGGCAATACAGCAGGGTCAATTTACTGTGCGAGGAGAAAAAAAGGCGATAGGCGGGATAACTGCCAGTCAGAAATAGCTCATCTGACGTAGTATACGAGAGATTTGCTCTCATGATGGTGTAGGGTGAAAAAGTTCCCAAAATTCATCTTTGCGCTGCAGAAAGGCATCTACTCGGTGAAGTTTGTGAAGTGAATCGATAACATATTACGGAATGTTTCATGATTTGTTGCGGCAGCAATCTAATCAGGCAAACTATTCCAGAAAATAATGGCACATGGGAGTGCCGACTTGTTGAACGTGTTCGTAGAGCCGTATACACGGGAATAGCTGAGATGATTGTGTAATCTACGTGAGGTGAGATATGGTTTGTGCAGACCAGTAATGGTGATTCGGGAGCACTGGGTGATTTTATGAAAAAATTAAATCAAGGCAATGTCTTGACGGATGTTCAAGAGTGAAAGTGAAAGTTGTTTTATATACAATATACTGGAATGGGGATTTTAGTTATTTGCTATGAAGTGGCTTGCCCTATTCTGAATTTTTTCCAATGTCTTAATAAGTATTTTTGATGGGGAGACCAGATCGAACAGGCACATTCTAGTTGAGGGTGAAGCAGGGTTAAGTATAATAATTTGCGAATGATTGAAGGTGCAGTTTTCTAATTACGTCCTAAGAAACAAAGTGACCTAAAGGCGTTGGCAGATATTGCTTTAATGTGGTCGAACCACGATAGAGTAGGTGGAAGTATAGTGCCCAAGTACCGATATTGCGTTGCAATCGAGATAATGAACTGATTATTGGTCTACAAAAATTCGGATTTGCTAGATTTACGTGTGAATGACATCACTTTGCATTTTGAGACATATATAGTCATGAGCCATGTACTACACCAACCATTCATTACATCGAGGTCACTTTAAAGCGACAAGTGATCATTAAAGTTTTTGATTAGACGGTAAATCATGCAGTTGTCGGCGAATACCCTGATGCAAGAAGATACATGTTGTGGAAGATCATTTATGAATATGAGAAAATGTAATGGTGCGAGTACGCTGCCTTGTGGTACACCTGAAGAAACTTCAACTAGAGAAGAAAAAAATTTTTGACTTGTGTACTGCTGCCGATTAGATAGAAAATTGCGAAGCCGTGGTAGTTTACGGGAGTTTAACTCCAAGGTGGATAGTTTCGATATCAGGCGACAGAGTGCAACCCGGTCAAAAGCCTTCGAATAGTCCAGGAACACGCGATCAGTTTGATAATTATTGTCCATATTTGCATGAAGATCTGTGCTTAGTTCGAACAGCTGAGTCTCACACGTTACGATGCCAAGAGCAACATGCGTATTACCAACACCGGAAGCGTTACACTTTAAACAAAATTATACCAAGCTGAGAGGAATCGGGGCAGGATGAGCGCCCTCTGTTCTAGTGACCTCACTCAAACCGGATTCTGCGAGAGCAAATACATTTGTTTTTCACCTTTCTCCTCCGTTGGTCACCGGACGAAGTAAACCAGAGGAAAACGAGGCCAATCCCCCGATTTTGCTCCCGTGGATCCTCCGAAAATGCTTCCGCGCATCGCTTTTGCCTCGCAACACTGGCATTCATTGGCTGTTCCAGGAGTGACATAGGCCGCTTTGTCGCCAGGAGGCTGTTCTTCACAAACCAACATGGCGCAGACCAAGGCGGTGCTGTGAGGATTGTGCGAAGCGCTCGGCCGCGTTGCAGAAAAGCAAATTGTTCTGAGCGCCTTCTGGATATCACAAGCGACAAGCAGCTAGGAAGGTTATCAACGACAGAAGCGAGTTGTGGGAACGGTAATCGTGTGACGGTTCCTGGCAGCGAACGACACATCGTGAACTCGCGAGTGTTGAGAGACCCAGCGGTCCCTCAACACTCGGTATTCGTCAGGTAGGGGTATTTTTGTCAGGTATTGCTAAGATTGGATAATTTTGGGTCAATATACCAGACATTTGGCTAATTTCACAAGACATCAGTGAAAAATGAGTGGAATTCCGATAATGCACCGTTTGGAGTACCTGTTTTTTTTTTCAGTAACGTAACTTCGGTAAAGAAAATGGAGAGGTGACTGACTTGGTACTCATTCACTATGGCGTAAATGTAGCGCAAAAAAAAAAAATAACACCACAAGCGCTTGTGGTTGTTCACTTTCTTGTACTCATCCTTTTTTGCGCCGCATTAACGCCATGATAACTTTGGTGAATTTAATCAAGTCGCTGTCATATTCGGAGCACTGAATAAATATGCAACAATGGAAAGTATCATAGCTTTAGGTCGATTTTATCAAAGGTCAATAATTGTTATAGGTAAACCTTACTGGTTAAAAGATATTTTTGTCTTGTCAGTACATATAAACGGTAACATATGTCCGCTTTCCAAATCAATAAACGCCAGGTCGAGGTCTACCACTGCGTAAGAATTATTTTGATAGACTATCTAAGCTGAACTAATAAAACTTGATTACCTAAAGTAAGTGTTAATTTTTTTATAAATGTAGTGAATTGAGGTACGCCAACGTAAATGGTACAGACTGTTAGAACGCATGCATGCACTTATACTTGTGAAAAAGTTATTTTGGTTGGATAAATGGTATCTGAGATATTCATGCAGAAGTATACTAGACTATTCGAGGGACGTGGTGCTTTCAGGAAAAGAAAGAGAGGGGCTAAACAAACTGACGATGCTAGAGACGAAGAATCAAAAAAAATAAGAGGGGTAAGTTGTGCAGCGCTTGACGTTTCTGTGAAACTTTGGGGGGGGGGGGGGGGGGGAGTAAAGTTAACCCATATGACAGCCCGGCTGAACATTATAAGACGGAGGGGAAGTTGTAGTGAAAGAAAGAGAAAAGAGAAGGCACCCTTTCGAAAAACTAGCCGTATTTTCTGTGTTGGTGATTGTGGAGATTACTATCCTTGCCACAACATTTTTTTTTCTCTTTCCATCGTGCTGCCGTGGCTGTGGCTGTAGTTTTTTTTTTGTGTGTGTGTGTGCGTAGAAGACTGGAGAGCGAACAGTGCTGAGACCCAGCTTTGACCTGGGAAATGCGATGACACTGGCTTGTGAACAAAAGAGGGGAGAAGAAATTTTTTTTCAAGCTGGGGACGCTCATCGTGATGCTTGCACGTGCGTCACCTTCTCTGGCCTCCGAACGTGTGCACGGATCTTTCTGTTGAGTAAACTGGTCGGCCTTCCCTTATTTCTGTGAAAATGCAGTTGGCTTAGGTGGCGTAATGTTAGTGCCTTTTATTGCTTACTTATTTTGTTGCGCTGTAGTGAACTTTTCCTTATTTTGTGCTAGAAGCTGTTCATATTGCTACGGAGAGGAAGAAAAGGAAGAGGTGCGACTGACAGGCGCGCGACTGGGCCAATCAGCCATTGTGTCTCTTGCCTGTAGTTTTTACTCTGCAAATACATCTCGCTCAGAAGCAACCAACCTCGTAACATATTGGTGAGAGGTGCTGGGTAACCATCAGGCAACGGAGCTCCGCAGCGGACGTCGCATCGCCCTTCCAGCCATGGCCAATGCTCAGCCCTCCGCGTCAACGTCAGCGTCTCCGACGAACATGGCGTCGCAACCGTACGTTTTCACGCCTCTCAAGGATCCCGGTACATTCTGCGGAACCGATGGCGTCGACGTTGACGATTGGCTGGCCATGTTTGAACGAGTGAGTGTGCCGAACAGATGGGATCCC